GTCCGGGGCTGCGGGACTCCAGGAGCACGACTCAGCTGCAGCAGGAGGCAAGGCTGTGGGAGAGTGAGACAGGTGCCGGCACAAGAGTGGACATGCGAGGGGCTGGCCAGGGCACGGTTGCTAGGTGACCGAACGCTTCCCCAGCTGAGAGAGGGCAGGGTCCCTCAGGCAGCAGGGTGGAGGATTGGGTCGGGGCATTGGGTCGGAGGTAAATAAGGGTGCGTGGGGATCAGAGGAGGAGGCAGAGGAGACATGGGAGAGGAGTGGAGGACAGAGGAGAGGAGAGAGAAGGAATCAAAGGGACGTGGAACGGAAGAGGCACAGATGAGAAAGAGACTGGGGGAAGGAGCTTGCTGGGGGGAAGGGCATTAAGGACCGCAAACACCTTGAAAGAACCCCAGGAGGGCAAGGAGTCTGGTGAGAAGGGGGGAGGAAGTGACCTAGGGCAGTGGGGGAGAGGGGTCTCACAAATTCATTTAGCATTTTAGGAGGTCGTGGTATCACAAAGTTTGAGAACCCCTGGAGTAAGAGTATGATAAATGAACATACACTGCTTCTCTTCCAGTTCTTTCTTACCATTCACGATTGGCACACTGGTGTTCCGTATGAACAACTATTTGAGCTATCTAGAAGTACTCAAAAAGTTCTGACTTCACCTTTTCTTTTTGTTTCATACATTTCTTTCTTTTGATTTTGTCCTTTTTTTCAGTCGCATGTCTGAACCCAGCTTACTGGGGTGGGGTGCATATGTCAAGATCTCCTGGGGTCCAAAACTTATGTAAGTTGCAGAAATCCTATGCCTGTTAGTGACCCTCACTCCTGCTACCTCAAGTGTTTTCATAGAATCATAGGACTGGAAGGGACCTCGAGAGGTCATCGAGTGCTTTGGGTGCATTACAAATAGGTGCACTATCTTTCACGGTTTCAGGACTAGGACAAAGCTGGTGGAGGAGTGCTTCTGATATTTCTTTGAGCATATGTTCTTAGATCAGCTTTGGAGTCCTCTCAGTCATCTAAGGGAAGCTCATCATAGATGCCTTCTTTTTGTGCTCCCCTGGCTGCAGAAGATCCGTGTCTCTAGTATCCTCTTTTTTTGACCACAGAATTGGAGCCCTGTCCTCATAAGCAGAAGTCTGCATCCATATCTTCAAAGCTTAGGGTGTGGAACTCAGATGATCTTTTAGGCATGTCAGTCCTTCACAACACTTTTAAAAGATGAACTTGGGGGAACTCTGCTGCTAGAAATTAAAAATCAGGGACTGAATAACATGCCACTGTAATATTGCTTATTATAGTAATGTATAACCTACTATCAAATGCCCCCCCCCTACTCAGCCACATATGAGTGGAGGGGTGTTAACAGGCCACTTCATCCTGTATGGTACTTTGAAATGTGTATTAATTACATATGGTAAATAATCCATGTTCAAATCTTGTTTTTAGCAGTCTAATAGAAGATATTATTTCATCGACCGTGTCTTCCTAATGTCTTTGGACTGACATGGCTACAACAATGCTGTGTGTAACTTTTCCTCTGTCAGCCAAAGTGTTCCCTTCCCAGACCTTATCTCTACTTCAAACCCTTTCCCAATATCTCCCAGAGTTCTTTGTGGCTCCCATTTGTAAGGGGACAGTAAGATTTGTGTGGATAGGAGATGCACTGAAGCTATAATCTTCCATGGGACAGAAAACAGCTGTTAGTAACTTAAGACAAACTAACTACAACTTTTTAAACCTGTCCCTTTCCTCCCTCTTTCTCTGGTCCATGCTGCCTGGGATCATCGCTACCTGTGTGCTAGCTGAGAAATGCATAGGCATAGATACAATGACTATTCATAGATGATCTCCTCTATAACTTCCGCCAAATGTACAATACAGGTTGGACCTCCCTGGTCCAGCACAGTCGGGACCTGACTGATCCTGAAGGACAGAATTTGCTGGACCAGGTGAGGTGTCCCCTGCCATGGGCCCTGAGCCTTTGGTCTCCTTTACCCTCTCCCCGGCTCTGCTGCCACCAGCCCCAGCCCTGGACTACATTGGTTCTCTGGCCCTGGCCCACACTGTAGTGTGCAGCCAGATTTCCCCAACCCTGTGCTACTACAGGCAGCCAGACTTCTTCAGTCCCCAACCCCACACTGCTTCTGGCTATCGGGTTTCTCTGTCTCTGTGCTGGTGCAGGCCGCCGCAGGCAGCCTGGCTTCTCCGACCCCATGCTGCCGCAGGCACCGGGCCTTCTGTAGCTGCTGGTCCTGGGCTTCTATTGCTTCCAGCCTCATGCTTCCGTGGGCGCCTGGGGTTCCACAGCCCCCATCTCCAAGTTGCCAGGGTTCTCTAGTCCCTGGCCCCAGCACTGCTGTGGGGCTCCTCCAGCCCCACTATCCCTGGCCGTGGCCAGGCTGCTGGTCCTCCTGCCATTAGGCTCTGGGCCTCTTTGGTCCAGGAGCATCTGTCATCTGGCTGGACCATGGATGTTGCCAGACCAGAGAATATTGGTTTTCAGAGGTGCAACCTATAGTAGTTCATCAGAAATCACTAAAATCATTGATTTATACTCTTGTCTTTTAAGGGTTGAAGTAGAGGATGGGACTATATTTAAAATCAGAATGTAGCACAAGAGGGGATATTGGGAGCGTACGTGGTGCTCTCTTTTAACTTACCAGCTTTGGATTCTGGTTCCTGTCATGGTTCAGTGATCCTCTTCAGATTTGTCAAAAGGTTGCTTTTTCAATTGGCTTCTCCAGGTAGAGATGCAGATACATGCATCTTGCCCTCTAGCTCTTCCAAGTATCATTCATGTTCCCTGCTGCCTTTTTACCCTGGCCCTCATCCTCATGCCATTGAAAAATGGGGTGAGGTGAGGTTGAGGAGGGAATTGTGAGCGCCTTTAAGCTGTGTACTGAAATCCCTTGATAATCACTTGGTCCCACTCATCATAGAAGGGACATGTACAATGAGCCCTGTCAGAGTCACTGTTGGAGACTTTTGCTCTCTGTACAGAAGCCTCCAGTGCTTGATGCATTCCAGGCGTTGGGACTGACTCAGCTCATTGCCCTCCTGCTCCAGCCTCAGTGGTATAAGTGTATGTTCCTGCCATTCTAGGAAAAGTTGTGGGAGACTGTTTATTCTGACCACATACCAGACAGCACCCGGATGTGGTTGGCAGGCCAGCCACCTCTTTCCAGAGCAGGATCCAGGTTCTCCTATATTGATGGAAATTGTGAATCAGAAAGATGTTCTGGTGTGAATAGTGCAGCTCACTACTATAAGTGAAAAGAGGGGGATAGGAATCTCTATGATTAAATAAAGGATAGGAAGAAAGAGGTTCAGGGGATTGTGTAATGGGACATAACGGACAATTGAGACTTGAAACATGGTACATGCCTTTTACCCCTGTCCACACTGCAAGCTGGCATGGGTTAGGGCTGCATGATAGCCTGAGGCATGTACTTACCCACATCCTTCAGGTAGCTTATTTTCCCTGGATTCATGCCTTCAGACACTAGGGTTGCCGGGTGTCCGGTTTTGAACCAGATAGTCCAGTATTTGAGCTTTCTGTTTGGGAAACAAATTGAGAAAATATAAATGTCCGGTATTTTCTAAATAAGATGTAATGTAGATTGTGATGTAATGTCAAGTTGTGTCCGGTATTTTTGTTGAAACCATCTGGCAACCCTATCAGGCACATGTTTCTGAGGTATAAATGTGGATAATAAGGGGGTTATAGCACAACAATAGGCATGGTAGTGTTTATAGTTTCTAGTGCAGCTAGATCACCAGCTGAAGTGCAATGGCTTATACTGCTAAGAAAGTAATGCCTGCTGAGAGTCTCACTATGTGCTTTAACAGAGTACATGCAACATTAGCTATGTTTCTGGTGCATGTCCCAACTGTTAACATTTGTAGAGCAGCATGGTGATTCTTACTCTATATTTCTGCTATATATTGCACTCTGTCTGCCTATGTAAAGGGAAGATGCACATGTAGTCAAGGCAGTCCCTAAGTCTCTCTTCAGAAGAGATTCCCAAGCTGTTACCTCAGGAGGTGGGCCTTGGAGTCAATCTACAGTGAAATAGACATTTGTAATCATCTGAAGAAAGAGTTAAAAGAAGGTTAACTAACCCTTTCTGTTTGTTTGAAGGGTGTGGGGCATATGTCCGTTCCATGATCCATCCTACTTCTCTGATGCGTCAGAGTTTACCATGGGGGTATGTCTACATTTGCGCCCTAGTTCGAACAAGGGATGCAAATGCAGGCATTCAAAATTGCTAATGAAGTAGGGATTTAAATATCCTGCGCTTATTAGCATGATCTTGCCAGCATGCTAGTTCGAATCACAGCTGATTCAAATGAGGAAGTGCTTGCCGGGACACAGTAGTTTGAACCAAAGGCAGTAGTTCGAACCAAAAAAATGAGGAGTAACATTAGTTCGAACCAAGGGGTTTGGTTCAAACTACTGCGTCCCGGCAAGATCATGCTAATGAAGCACGTCCCCATCCCCCATTTCCCCCTCCCCCCCCCGATTCCTGGTTCGAATCAGTTGTGATTCGAACTAGCGCACCGGCAAGATCATGGATCACAGGATATTTAAATCCCTGCTTCATTATCTGTTTTGAATGCCTGCATTTGCATCCCTAGTTTGAACTAGGGTACAAGTGTAGACATACCCTGGGTTCCACTATTGAAGGCACTGGAGGCTAGGTGGGGCATTTCTGCTCTTTATATACTCTAAGAACAAGGAACTTGGTGGTGGGTGGGCTGCTCCTTTGGGTACCAGTAGGAAAAATTCTCCAGTATCATTGCACAAAGTGTTCACATACCTACAATATAATGCACATCTGCAACACCTCTCAAAGAACAATAATTGCAAGAAGGTTAAGTAACTTTTTCCCTCTAACAAAACTGCTAGTGCAAAATTAACTTGGTATTTTTACTTTATCTTGAAACATCTTATTTAATATATATTGTAAGCATTATGTTAATCAGTTACTTAGAGTTTTTTTCAAACTAAGCTATATATTTTTGGCAGTCATTTACCAGTTTAGGTCCTGATTCCGTAAAGACTTATATACATGCTTAAGTACTTTGCTGGATAGGGGCTGTTGAGCTTATCTTGCAAGATCAAACTGTTCCTGTAAATATTTTCTATAAAATTACATTTTCAGATATTTTAAAATAATCAGAACAGGAAGATTACCTTAGCCCCTTATAATTTTTTATGAAGAATCATAATAAAAAGACATCTGCTATTGCAACTGTTTCCTTTTTTAGTTTCCAAAAAATTGTGGGAAGAGGTGAATAGGATTTAAAACCTTACTTTTGACAATGGTATGAATGAGTTTAAGATGCTACTGAAGAATAGACTAACTTATATTTTTTAAATTATTAATTTTAAATAGCTGCCAGTGATGATCTTATACAACAAAATAAAACCTAAATTATTTCTCTTTCTCTTTTATTTTATTTTATTTTATTTTATTTTATTTTATTTTATTTTGGTGTCTTTGTTTGTTGCTGTCTTTTTAACACTTGATCATAAAGGAATGTGCTCAATACTTCCTGGAGGTAAAAGATAAAGATATAAAACATGCACTTGCTGGTTTGTTTGTGGAAATTCTCATCCCGGTGGCTGCTGTAAGTAGTCTTTATTTTCTTCCTATATGAGTTTGATTAGCTTTTCTTCCTGAAATTCCTCCAGTAGATTCTCTCTGGATTGAATTTGTGCAGATCCATAAAAGCTGTTGGACAAGTTCTTGCCTCGTTGCATTTGCCCATTAGTACCAGTATTTGAGCCTATGACTGCAAGTATATCAGTACTTCTTGCTTATTATCTGATTTCCTACTTGCCTTTAGGCCTACTGTCATTACTTTCTTACCTATTATCTCATACTTATTTTAAATAGTCTGAATTCTGCAGTTCTTATTTAGTCTTTACTCAAACAAAGCTCTTATTGACTTGTTCTTTAATAACAGAAACCTCTGAACAGCTTTCAAGTATAGTCCCAGGGCAGCATATTACTGCCTATTATAGGCAGTAGGCAACAAATGTATGCAGAACTCAAAAATGATTTTTTTGTGTGCAAAAGAAAAGGATGCAGTATTTTGGCTAAGCGAGTCCAATAAGATTGTGAATTTGTGAACAAATGTGATGTTTGGTGGACAAAATTGTTGATTTGAAGGAGAAGTCATAGCCTCTGCCATTTTCTTAGAATGATTTATTTTGCCAGTAAGTACCATTTGCATCTTTTGTTGTTTGAATTTGAGCCAAACGACTTTCATCCAAGTTCATTCCTCCATCAGAAAATGATGAAGGAAAACTGCATTGCTTACACTCAAGGAGAGGAAACAGGGCTGAGTATCATCAGCATGTTGAAAACACAGCAGTCCATAACACTTCTCTTTTCTTGAGGAGGTTGTAAGTCAAGAAGGTTGTGCAATACCCACGCCTGAAGCCTGATAGGTATCCTAAAGATTAAAGGAAATTGTGCCTGATGTGGGCCTGCTTTCATATTCTCAACAAACATCAAAAAAATTCCATACAATTAGTTTAAAAATGTTGTGGAGGTTGGTAAAATGGTTATGTGATAGTATCATTAGCAAGTACTGTTAAGCAATGTTCCCTCCCAAAGAATGGTAGGTCCCTTCATCAAGTGACTGAAAGGTCGTCTGTGTATACTTGGAACCCTTCGTTTAGATACAATCAGAGAAAATAGAGTTCCTGGTTCCAATTCCAACTTTGTTGTATCACAGACAGTATCCTAATTCAGATTTAAATGTAATTAAAGCCAATTAAGCATCTTTGAACCTCTTTAATATCTTGCTAATATCTTAAGTTATATCAAGAGAGCCATTTTGTTGGCTCAAATACTTTTCAAATGCATTTTCACAGTTTGACTGCTTCTTATTGGGTAAACGTCCAGACTATTGTACTAAGCAAAATGCATTGCCATTTTTTGGATGGCTACCTTGTGAACAAAATAAGTAATTCATAAAATTAGTTATCTTTTATGTAGGACTAGGGAGAAATTATGAACTTGCAGTTGGCACAAATGTGAAGTTCAGTGTGTCTAGCTGTGCAAAATCAATATAATTAGGATTACTTCTTTAAGACCTTTGATGTGCATGTTGGTTTACAAAGCACATAGTGTAGACAGAGTCCTCTCTGGAGCTTACAGAATTAATTGGATAAATACAGCACAAATATAAAGGATGAAGTGTGAAGGTGAGCCCACATAGGTTGATTAGCAGTAGACACCTAAGTTAGGAGGTGTGTTCTTGGGGAGAGGGTGGTTGCTTGGTGTATGGGAAGACAGCTGTTCAGAGTTTGTAGAACAGAGTAGGAAAGTCCTTACTGTGAGTGTATGCACAAAGTCATGCATCAAAATAAATCCCCTAGTCATTTTGCACCTGAACTTTGAAACCAAATCAAAACACTGCATTTATGATGGGATACACAGTAAAAAGCCCTATCCTTATTTAGTCCCAGTTCTTGGATTTAGTGTGCATTTAGGAAATTGGAACGGTGAGAAAAGTTGAGTGAGTTCTTTTAATAAAAAATACACACATTTTAAAAGAAACTTCTGTCCAGGAATTGTGTTGCCTACTAGTAAAATAATTTACACCCCCTTTAACATGTGTTTAAAATTAGACTCTTTTTACTTAGAGCATGCAAATTCAGGACAAATATTTATGAACTTTGTTAGCTGCAACATTTTCATTGCTTTACTAAAGATTTGCTATATGACACGTTGATTTCATGTGCTACTCATTACATCTTATGCAGAAAGATTTGAATAACTTTACTAATCTTAAAGATTATCTCCATGTTGAATTCTCATAAGCCTGCATAGTTCTGCTTTTACTGTAGTTTAACTTTTCTTTCTGCTTAGATCTGTATACTTAATTATTTGTATTTATTTTCACTAGGCTGTTAAAAATGAAGTGAATGTGCCATGTTTGAAAAATTTTGTGGAGATGCTCTACCAGACTACCTTTGAATTGAGCTTAAGAAAGAAGCACTCACTGGTATTTAAGAAATATTTCAGTTTTTCACATACTTACTGACATATATTTTAGATTTTTAAATGTACCTAAGGAATTTAAGAGAATTCTTTATTGTAAAGTCATAACTCCTAAAGGCATAACAAAGATTAAATTCATACTTTTTTATACTGCTTCTTCTTGATCTTTGTCTCATTGTGCAGGATTTGTTCTCTGTGGATGAAAAGTAATTCTGCCTCTGTTTTCATTCCTGAAACTTTCCTGAAACTTAGTTTTTAATTATTTCAGTGGTTTGTGATGTGGAGTCATTCCCTAATATCTTTTCTGATAGCATAAATTCTTTTCATTCAGAATCTCAGTGTAGATTTAATTGAAGGGCAGAAGAAGCAGACAAGGTTTTTTTTTGTTGCTGTTGTTGTTTTCCAGAAAACCAGCTTGCTTGTTAACTATCCTGCTTATATATGTTAGCTCTTCTTCCCACATATTTCAGCTTTCCCTGGTACTCTCCAAGCTTAGTTCATGGATATTTTCCCTAAGTAAACATCCTGGCATACTTTTCTATTTTTAGTGTATTATTTGCCACTTCCCTTTATTTCCATATCTATAATGCAAGTGTATTTGTCTCACTTTGCATCTCACAAGGCTAATTCTTGTGTTTGTGGTTTGTATTTCTAGTAAGTGCAAAATTACATCAAAATAATCTCTTATTCACATTTACATTCCCATGTGAGCACAATAGAGATTCCATTGTTATCCTGTTAAAGGATTCCAAGAGTTAAGGAACTGCTGTAACTGTAGACATTTAAACTCTGTAGCTTGTAACAATATCATTGTCAAACTTGATGATGAGATAACATTTAGGCCACTTCCATTCTATGAGGTTGAATCTACACTATGAGATGAGGTTGAATCTATTATGGTCAATTTCTTACCACCCGATTTTGCAAAGTAGGAAGTCTATGTCCCCTCAGCTGGGATGAATTCAGCATAGTTTGAAATAACACATACCTGTTAGGTAGGCTGCCATCAGCTTTGAGAATGATGTACTGCGGATAGCTCTCCCACAGTGCCTATGCCACTTTGCATTCTGGGTTATGCTCCCGGTGCACTGGTAAGTGTCCCTGGAATACCCTTTCTCCTCCATTGCCTTTGAGATCTTCACATAGATACCGGCATTTCTCTGCTGGTTTGGTGCTTGGAGACAATGGATTCCTCTCCCATACCTCATTGAGGTCCAAGATATCCCCCACACTCCACACTGTTGCTCTTCTGTGCCCCAGGGAACTGGAGCTCATGAGACTTGGAAGTCATGGAAGTGTTGGAAGTCATGGCTACTTGTGCTGCTCAGGTGTGCTTGCAAGTCTGGCCACACAGGAAATGAAATTCAAACTTTCCTAGGGCTTTTCCTGTTCACGAGGAGAGCAGTAGAGGCCCAGGGTCTGGCCAGAGCACTGTGAGATGCCTCACACAGGCCAAGAACTTCGACTTTCACCAATGGGGTGTCTACGCTACTGTAAACTCACCCAGGCAAGGTTGGGAATAGCATTTACTCCTCATGAAATCAGGGTAGCATGAGAGAGACTTCAGCAGCCCTGAAGGTCGACAAGACAGGCTTGGTAGTGTGGATACATCATTTAGAAAATTTATCTTACGCAGCTAAATTCAGTCCAAACTCCTAGTGCAGACCAGGTCTTACTATTTTGATGTCAGAAACACTGTTGCATTATTCTTGTTATTTAATTAGGTTTTATTTCTTTCTTCAACATTCATCTTGTACCAAAATGACTGTGAATGAGAATAATTTAGTATTAAGGACCAGTATACATTCTGCTGAAAAACTCGTAACACCTTAATGAATCTTACAGCACTCCAGCAAGAAAAACACCATAGCTCAAGTACTTACAAAATGTATTAAATTTGTGAAGGGATGAAGGCAGTGTTCCTAACCACCCAATGCCTTACTCAGGTTTTACTGGGATTATTGTGTTGTCCCTAAATGTACTTCTCACCAAGCAATTTGGTCAATTCTTCTTTACTTCCCTCCTTTTAGGCTCTATATCCATTGATCACCTGCCTGTTGTGTGTCAGTCAGAAACAGTTTTTTTTAAATAACTGGCACATTTTCCTGCAGAACTGTTTGTCACATTTAAAGGTAAGAAACGTTCTTAATCCAAAACATGCCATAAATTAATAGCATTCTACCATATATACTTTAAGCATTTTAATACCAACTAAAGCACCAAGCACCATAAATAATTGCCCGCTGAAAAGGACACTGTCAGATAATTATTCTAAAAACTTTTTGAATGTTTTAATTCTCCATTGTTTAGTCATATGTTTTATGGGTTGCTGGAATTGGTATGGCACTTCTTTAAATATGCAAAATATAACAGTTTTGACTCATTTTGGTCCTTTTGATACTATCATTGTGCATCAGCTTCATTGGTTCATGTTTGCATAGCTCTAGGAGCAATATTTGATTATCAGCTACAGACAGCAGAGAGAGCACAAGCCATAACTTATCACATACTAATTACTGGTAGGAGGAGTGTGTGATGTACACACTTTAAAGTAAAATATATAGTAATTTCAAAAGATAGTTTACTCTTTGATATTAAAAAGTATAGATTAAATATGTAGTCTGGAGAGGAAACGATGCCTGCATCCTATATCAATTTTAATGTTGTGTACATTTTGAATATAAAACTTAGTGCCCCTTTTAACTCTTGAGTGCATTTGGTAGTGCGATCAACATTATTAGATTCATAAATTACGTAGATCTTTGATATTTGGAAATTGTTTGTCCCAATTTAAATCTCAAATTATTTATTGTAATGTGACCTTTCATTAATTTTGATTAATATGGTTTATTAAGAATGTTTGTTTTGTTTAACATTTTGGTTTTGATATTTTTAAAGTAATTGATTCATCTTATTGTTAACATGGTTTCTGATTAGCTATGTGTAACAATTTCCTAATCACATCTATGTGCTTACAATTTAAATTACATAAACCATTGTGAAAACAGCTAAAGCAAAACATGAATTTTGATGTTTTTGAAGGTTCTTGTGTCTTCATGACATCATTTGTATGTTTCTGTTGCTTGTTGAGGTTTTTGTACATTTTTCATCTAACATATTTGCAATTTTTTCAATGTCTGCTTTGTTTTTTGTTTTGCTATTGAAGCTGTCCTTTAAAAAGAAACATGAATTTATTTTGCATCCTGTAATCAGATAGACCTGGAATTACTTCCATTGCTGTTAATGGATGCATTAAAGCTATCAATCCCAAGGAGTTTAGTAACTGCGCAGCATGCATTGTTTATTTCAGATATTTTTGTTGCCAATTAACAACTTCATACATTTACTTCAGGACTCTATTCAACAGAAATTTTGTATACGAGCTTCTTCAATGCAGAACATAACAGTTTTAGCACTGCACACTGATGAGGGATTTACTATAGTATTAGACTGAGTCATTTGGACTGTAGTTCCACTACTGGTTTTTTGTTTTTTGTGTGTGTGTGTGTGGCGATCTAGCTTCGGATTGAGACTTGGTTGATGTGAATCTTTCATAGTCCATCTTAATTATCTTCTTATTTTGCTTCGGCTAAGCTTGTTTCTCTGTGCATGATGGCACTAACTAAAAGAAGTGTAGTCTATAATGAGTAATCAGTTGCTGAGCAGATTCTTATCTTAATTTATTTTTCCACCTTGGTCCCTCATTATGAGAAGACCAGGTAAAAATATTTTGTTTTATGATTTGCTTGAATTTACTTAGATTTATGCAGAATAATACAGATTATGTGCCCATTCACTCCTTTAAAATATAATTATAAAAATTAGTTAATTAGACTATTATCAGGTTTCATCTGACCTTGAGCAGGAAATGTCAGGCAAAAATTGAACCAATACATTCACACAACACTGGTGATTCTCACATCCGTGGCAGTATGGTATGGGGAAAGAAGTAGTTCCTTGGTACGCAGGCCATTCTGGCTATAAGTTCAAGATACGTTCCAAAAAACTTGGACATACAGCAAAACAACTTTAAATGGCAATTTTTTTCCTGTGGCTGACTTCCATTTTCACAGATTGGTTTGGGGGAGGAGTTGGGGGTTTTTTTGGTTGTTGTTGGTTTTTTGGGGTTTTTTGCACAACTTAAGAGCGGGGAATGGGAGGACTGTTAAAGCATCACTTCCTACAAGCGTCAGTGACTTCACTGCAGAACTGATGTATACTGGGGCAATTTATAGAGGTGATACTCTGTACGGTATAAGTAGATACTAAGCCATTTAGCATTTTATAGGCCATGGCAGTAACTCTGATTTTCACCTGGAAACCAATAGAAAATTATTGGAGATTACAAAGCATAGGAGAAATATGGTTCACTGAGGAAATATTCTGTGAATTGATTCAGTAGCATGTAACTGTATTGGTATTTTCAAGGTTTTGGCTAATTTTTAAACCCTCTATTAGAATATGGTGTGGTAGGGTGCAGTCAATTTTCAGTGGTTTGGTCACGTTAGGAGATTATTACATTTCTTGAGTTTGAGAACAAAGATTCTTGTTACTATTGCTGCTTCTTAAGAGCAAGAGTGGGAGAAAAAAGTTTAAAGATTATGCACAAGTGGGAAGGGAAGAGTAGAGTAGAAGACTGGATAATTCTTGGGAAAAGACAATGTTTTGCCTTAGGAAATTAATTAGTGTCCATGCCACTTAACCATTGAAGTTGGTGGAGCATTCAGAGAGATTACCAGCAAAAATCTTATTTCTGTGAATAGAGTCCTTACTATTGTCCTTACCTGTTTTGTGCTTTTTTTTTTTCATCTAACATGCATGTGCCTTCCATTCTCATGTTTGTTATGTTTTGCTGTCTCACATTGCTTTATTTAGATGCCATCTAACAACAGTATCAGAAAACAAATAGAAACACTCCAGGTGAGTTAATGTTTTGTAATAACATAGTGAAAGGTCACTTTGTCTCCTGTAACTCCAGTATTTTGTTTTTGTGTATGTTCTTGCATGTTTTGTTTGTTTCTGTTAAACTGCTATTAGTCCCGTCAAGAAGCAACAGCACAAAGAAGAATCTTTGAAAAAACATTTGAAAGGTTTTCTAATGAAGAGTAGTGTAAATTATCTGATACCAATTTGCTTGCAGAAAATTAGGTTGTGAGATTAAGCCACAATTTGACAGCCCAGATTATTAAACAGCAGTGCATGTTCGCAGTAAGAGAGAAAATATAAATCTCAAATATTTATTATTTCAGTTACATTTATTTCATGCAAAATTGTCTTGCATCCTAGCTAATTTGGAAGCATTATCAAAATAAAAAGATGAAAATGGTTTATTATAATTTAAAATGAACCGCAATAAAATCTGCCCAGGGTGACCATGCATAGGGTTTAGAAAAAGTGTTTCCTTACAAAAGGTGGCCTCTCTTCAGAGATTTCCGAGAGATGGGTGGTATGCTATGGTATAAAGGGGTGTGACTCAGCACCTCGGTGCCTCTGGCTGGCTGTCCTGGGAATTAACTCATTTCTACAGTGCATCCTCCTCAGGAGGTAACTTGGCTGCTGTGACTTCTATTGTCTTCACCATTCTGAGACCTGTGTTGTCCTCTTCTGCACACAGCCCTCAGACTCTGTCCCACTCTGTTATCTCTCCCCTTCTGGGGGAGTGACAGCCCTTGGTCCTAGCACTTGCCTCACTGACCAACTGCAGTCCAAGGTCCAGCCCTTGTCCTCTGGGGCAAACTGCATTCTGGATGAGCCACTCTTCTCATTGGCAACTGGGGTACAAAGGTCCGGGGGAGACCCAGACCCACCAGCTACTCTGGGTCTCCATCTTGGGACCCTATAGCTGGCAACTACCTAGTTCTC